ACTAATCCTATAAAGTCAATGGACTTTCAAATTCAAATATTAAACTAGTGGTCATGAACATTGTTTTTTTTCCCCCTTAAAAATACATTGAAATTAGCATTAATATAATCGCTGTGTTTAATATTTGATATGGGTCATGATTAAACAACAGAATTGGTTAAAATTCAATGAGAGAATTGCTTTTCATAAATACTGAAAAATCAATTAAAAGAAGTGGTCACAGGCTTTATTTTCAACACTCAAATTGTCATATCAAATTCCCTATAATTATCTGCCTTTGATTTTAAAAGTTTTTATTTTTTATTTAAATCACTTTAGGACACCAAATTTTTTGATTGGTCAATCTTTAAATTCAAGTTCTAGATGTTTCTGTTGTTTATTTTATAATACTAGGTGAAAAATTATTGAACCAAAAAAGTATTTTTGCAACCTGCCAAGAAGTGATGGACTGAATAAGACACCTGATCAATTTTAAAGTTGTCACAATTCTTATATTGATGAAGGATAAAGGAAAGACAGATAAGCCTCTGAATTTTGATTGTATAGATATGTAACTTGCATTCATTTGTAAGCACAAAATATAAAAAAATAATGTACGAAAAAACAAAACCGAATATATTAGCCATTTCATTGTGATTGAAGATGCCAAATATGAAGAGAAAACAAAAAAAATGGTAAAAACTGAATTTTTAGTTAAATCAAATCATGGGTTGTTTCAACCAATTTTGATGGAGGTATAAATAGCTATTTAGAATTGATTCTCAATGTCAAATAGTGGTAAAAAGTTCGATTTTTTTGAAAGGATCAAATTTTGAGAAACAAGTTTTTATACGACCGCAAACAAATTTTGCGGTCGTATATTGGTATGACGTTGGCGTCGTCATCACGTCCGAAGACACATTGGTTTTCGCACTCTAACTTTAGTTTAAGTGAATGGATCTCTATGAAATTTTACCATAAGGTTTAATACCACAAAAGGAAGGTTGGGATTGATTTTGGGGGTTATGGTACCAACAGTTAAGGAATTAGGGGCCAAAAATAAGCATTTTTGTAACTTCCAGACATAACTTGTGTGTTAGTGTATGGATCTCTCTGACATTGTACCACAAGGTTCCATATCACAAAGAGAATGCTGGGATTGATTTTGGGAGTAATTGCCTCAAAATTTTAGGAATTAGGGGCCAAAAAAGGGGAAAAAAACAAGCATTTTTCTAGTTTCATGACAATAATTTGTGTGTAGGTGTATGGATCTTTCTGAAATTTTACTACAAGGTTCCATATCACAAAGGGAAAGCTTGAATTGAGTTTGGGGGTAATTGCCCAAAACGTTAAGGAATAAGGGGCCAAAAAGGGGCCAAAAATAAGCATTTTTCTAGTTTCCAGACAATAACTTGTGTTCAAGTGTAAGGATCTCTCTGAAATTATACTGCAAGGTACCATACCACAAAGGGAAGGCTGGGATTGATTTTCGGGGTAATTATACCCCACGCAACGAGTTGCGGAGGGTATAATGTTTTTGACCCGTCCGTCTGTCCGTCCGTCAGTCCGTCAGTCCTGTTTCTTGTCATCGCAACTCCTCTCAAACCACACAACAGAATTTCATGAAACCTTTTTAGATAATAAGGACATACTATGTAGTTGTGCATATCGACAGGAAATTACGATTCAATTTTTTTTCTAGGAGTTACGCCCCTTTGAACTTATTTGCTTCAATATACCTCTGCAACAGTTTGTCATCTCAACTCCTCTGAAACCACACAACAAAATTTCATGAAACTTTGTAGATAATAAGGACATACTACGTAGATGTGCATATCGACAGGAAGTTACGATTCAATTTTTTTTCCAGGAGTTACGCCCCTTTGAACTTATTTGCCCAATATACTACTGCAACCTTTTGTCATCGCAACTCCTCTCAAACCACACAATAGAATTTCATGAAACCTTTTCAGATAATAAGGACATACTATGTAGATGTGCATATCGACAGAAAATTACGATTCAATTTTTTTCTAGGAGTTACGCCCCTTTGAACTTATTTGCTTCAATATACCTCTGCAACAGTTTGTCATCGCAACTCCTCTGAAACCACACAACAGAATTTCATGAAACTTTGTAGATAATAAGGACATACTAGGTAGATGTGCATATCGACAGGAAATTATGATTCAATTTTTTTTCTAGGAGTTACGCCCCTTTGAACTTATTTACTTTAATGTACTACTGCAAGTTTGTCATCTCAACTCCTCTGAAACCACACAACAAAATTTCATGAAACTTTGTAGATAATAAGGACATACTACGTAGATGTGCATATCGACAGGAAATTATGTTTCAATTTTTTTTCCAGGAGTTACGCCCCATTGAACTTATTTGCCCAATATACTACTGCAACCTTTTGTTATCGCAACTCCTCTCAAACCACACAATAGAATTTCATGAAACCTTTTCAGATAATAAGGACATACTACGTAGACGTGCATATCGACAGGAAATTACGATTCAATTTTTTTTCTAGGAGTTACGCCCCTTTGAACTTATTTGCTTCAATATACCTCTGCAACAGTTTGTCATCGCAACTCCTCTGAAACCACACAACAGAATTTCATGAAACTTTGTAGATAATAAGGACATATTATGTAGATGTGCATATCGACAGGAAATTATGATTCAATTTTTTTTTCTTATACAATTTTTTTTTCTTACAGTTATTTTATTTCTCCAGTGACAATGTGGGGACGTGGGGTATGTGAGCGCGCTCACTAAGGTTCTTTAATTGCCTCAAAGTTTTAGGAATTAGGGGCCAAAAAGGGGCAAAAAAAAAGCATTTTTCTAGTTTCAGGACAATAACTTGTGTGTAAGTGTATGGATCTTTATGAAATTGTACTACAAGGTTCCATATCACAAAGGGAAAGCTGGGTTTGAGTTTGGGGGTAATTGCCCTAAACGTTTAGGAATAAGGGGCCAAAAAGGGGCCTAAAAACAAGCATTTTTCTAGTTTCCAGACAATAACTTGTGTTCAACTGTATGGATCTCTCTGAAATTGTACTGCAAGGAACCATACCACAAAGGGAAGGCTGGGATTGAGTTTGGGGGTGATGAATCATAAGGGGGTTCAGAAAATTTGGGGGAGGGATTTTTTTTTTCCTTTTTTTCCTTTCCTTTTGTATGTACATGATTTTTTCCAATTTTGCTTATCAATATTCAGCAAAGGTTAACCTTTTTTTAGAGTTCAGTTTCACAAGCTTCTAAAGCAATTATCTCGATAAATAATGAACATAAAAAACATAGCGTATTTGCATGTATATTTCTAATACACAGTCTAAAATATAATTTCTTCAAAATGTAGGATTGTTTCTTAGAAATAACTTTTGATCAGTATCATCACTGGCATTGTTTTACTCGGTACTATTGATTTTTTTCAACTTTTTAATAAGAAGAGTGAATTCTCTATTGTTCTCGGTCATTGGTTATGCCACTAAATAGATAATGAACATTGCACTCTTCACATGAAATAATTCAATTTCAGTTTACTGTCTAGCCCAGTTACATTAAACAAATATTTTTGATTAAATATAAATATTTTGATCTTTTGGTGTTTATTGTTAGTTGTCTCATTTGCAATCATACCACATCTCCTTACTTTAACATTGAAGAATGTTAAAAGTACACATTTCAAATTTTTAATTCTGTTTGTTTTTGGTAAAGAAATTGTTTCAAAAATGGCTTTTCAGGGTTCATTAGACATGTATCAGTTTATTATTGAAAAGGATAGTAGATTGTTTTATGCAACAACATATAACTCTGTTATGTGCAGTGACATTTTAATTTTTGTGCTGGAGTGCAAAAGTCATACTTGCCAACCTCTGAAACCTCCAAAGAGGGAGATCTCCCCCTCAGCTATGACAGCTGAGGGGGAGATTTTGCGCGAGCGACATTTTCAAGTTAAATATATGACTTGTTTATTTATTCATCTACAAAAAACCAATAAGAGTTAAAAGATACACTTTTTTTCTTCAATTCATGGTTATAATCTATACAATGGAATTTGATGTTCAGTAGTTGTCGTTTGTTGATGTGGTTCATAAGTGTTTCTCGTTTCTCGTTTTTTATATAGATTAGACCGTTGGTTTTCCCGTTTGAATGGGTTTACACAAGTCATTTTTGGGGCCCTTTATAGCTTGCTGTTCGGTGTGAGCCAAGGCCCCATGTTAAAGACCGTACTTTGACCTATAATGGTTTACTTTTACAAATTGTGACGTGGATAGATAGTTATCTCATTGGCACTCATACCATTTCTTCTTATATCTATAAGGTGTGGTTTTTTTTGTTTTTTGTTTTGTCTTTTTCAATACCTCTGAGTCTCATAACTCATAACATTCCATATTTTGATTTTGTTGTGAGTCTCACACTAAGCATGCTTTCAAACGTCGTACAGACCACCAGGAGAAACCGAAAATGTGATTGAACATGATGTGCAAAATTAAGATTCATTGCCAAGTGTCAGTGAACTTGGTCGTAAAAATTAAAATTCTTTCATTCACTGACATTGCTTCAGTCTGCTTGACATTTCAGTTTGCAGTTATCTATTTCTTCTTTCTTACACTGCCATTTGGTCCAGACAAAGACCTCTCTCTATCTTGTTGGAGTTGACATAGCAGAAATGAATTTCGATTACTTTTAAATCTAACATAAAAACTACTGACCAAAGTTTTCAATGGCCGATTGTTTATTTATTTCTATTGACAGTAATGAAAAAGCCAGAGAATTACAAACGCGGGTCATTCCTGGTTAAAATATCTGAAAGCGGGAGAATCTATACTCCCGCGCTTAGCGGACCAGCAAGTGGGAGATTTCCAGAATTTTGCAGTTTGAGCGGGAGTCTCCCGCTCAAAACGGGAGGGTTGGCAGGTATGGCAAAAGTAGTTGAAGCAAAACATCTGAAAATTAAAAAAAGATTGTGTAATGATAATAATATAATTATTAAATTTTTTTTTCAGGAGAGATATTCTTTACATTTATACTCCATTAATGGGAAGCACTTGTTTACTGAAAAATTGGTGTATGGATTGTGTCACATGATAATTAAGGGAGATCATGTGATAACAGGAGACATTCAGGGCCACCTTACAATTAAGGAAATATTTGGGTAAGTCCTTTTAAATGAATGTTTGCTTCATAAGTCTGGGTTACATACCATCTTTCCATAAGGCTACATCATCAAAGTAGGACAAAAGTCTAATATATTTCATAATGCAATATGATTGCTCTTAGAGAAACTGTAAAATAACATCACAATATGACTTGAACATCAAATTTATTTTGAAAGATAAGTAGTAATTTACTGTAAATGTAATATTCTTCTTCATCTTGCTTATACTGAATCTAAATAAAAGGGAGTAGATAGAAATCACTTAGTAAGTTTGTATGCCAGAGATAGTCGTTTCAGAACTGTCTTAAAAGATAGTTACGATATTTGGTATTATTATAATTTATTCAAATTTCTTATATTATCCATTCATTTCATTGGACACAAGGCATTTGTTAATTTTTCTAACCTTTCATAAGCCCCACCCAACCATAGCAATGGAAGCTAATGCCTAAAATTAACACCCGCTGAGCCCGAAGTTTGCAGATCCCGAACAATTAACACCCGCTCCGGCCAAGGTTTACTGATTCTTATTTCTACATCATTTCTGTCGTTTTGTTGTTGTTATTAGTAAACTATCTTAATTTATGACTTCATCTTTTTACAATTGTCCTTCTAATAACATTGTGTACACTTGAATCATAAGGTATTCAGTATAATAAAAATCATACTGCCCTTGGATGAAGGTGTTAGGGTGATTTAAACACACTCGGTAAAAAAATTATCACCCGCTACTTCGTCTTGGGTGATAATTTTTTCCCTCATGTGTTTATTTACCCTAATACCTTCATCCAAGGGCAGTATGTTTATATATTAATATCCACCTCCACCAAAGGTGTTTCTTCAATAACTTTGGTATGTTGTTAATGTTTGAATAATTTATCAGACTAACTTTTGACATCACTTGGCATCTGCCATGGTCTGTTCACACTGTCATCTGCCATGGTCTGGTCGCACTGTCATCTGCCATGGTCTGTTCACACTGTTATCTGCCATGGTCTGTTCGCACTGTCATCTGCCATGGTCTGTTCACACTGTTATCTGCCATGGTCTGTTCACACTGTCATCTGCCATGGTCTGTTCACACTGTTATCTGCCATGGTCTGTTCACACTGTTATCTGCCATGGTCTGTTCACACTGTTATCTGCCATGGTCTGTTCACACTGTTATCTGCCATGGTCTGTTCACACTGTCATCTGCCATGGTCTGTTCGCACTGTCGTCTTTTCTGAAACCACTCAACTTATTTTAACTAAACTTTGTAGGAATGAAATGTGGATAGGTAAAATCATTTACTGGTAAATGCAATGACATTTTAAGTGTTGTGTCCAAGTGCAATAGTAAATATAACAAAACTGAAAACCTAGAAAATGTGTAGTATCTTTTACAGTAGTAAAGTGACAATAATATTGTTAACAGTGCCTCTTTTTTTTATATAAAATATTTATATTGTAGACTAAGAACAGTCAATATGTTTCCACTCCATGTGCCTATTCATTGTTTATCAGTAACCAATAGCAACAGTCACATCTTGGCTGGAATCCGAGATGGCAAGCTAATCATTATTGGTGTGAAAAATAGAACTGATGCAAGATGACATTGAATTTGTTATTTGAAAAGAATTACTCAATCAACATAGAAATCCACAAGGTTGCCCATACCAAACGAAAAAAGATGGTGGTTACATTACTTATTAGGAACTATTTATAAGTGAGATTTTAAGAAACAAAATAGATTAAAAGATGAATGAAATTTGGATTTAAAAGTTCAGCATTTATCATTAGAATGAAAATAGGTTAATGGTATCTGCAATATGTTTGATGGAAAATGTGTATAATAAATTGTTTTTATTTGCAATGAATTATATCCATATATATATAGTCATTTAACCCTGAAAAGTGTTTGTAATTGTATGTTTTAATCATTTGTTAATCCTCTTATTGATATTGCTATAAAAATGAACATAACTTTAGATCAGTATAACTTTTGTTTTGATGACAAATTCAACAATTGATAGTCATTGTTGAGACATTTCTGGAAATTTCAAATGTTGTCTTTTATTTTGAAAATTTTACATGAATTGCTAAGAATAACAATAACAGTACTGTGCTTAAAGACTTGCCTCTGCCAATGGTGGATTTGATTGGCACAATTGTATCTCTCTAAATATATATGTTACAGGAAATCAGTGTAATCAGGGATCTCAAGTAATTCCTAAAAATTAGGGATTACATGTAATTCAAGCAGTGTAGTAATTACATGTTATCCCTAGATATTGGTAGGGATTTCATGTATCCCTAGAATTTTACCTAAAATTACACATATTCCCCTAATATTACTATTAAACTATGCATGGTTATATTTTGGAATGATATGCTCTCAAATGAGAATAAATTATCTAATATTTTATATAGACTTATGTTACAACTTCACCAGAGTAAACCCAAACATTTTAAATGGGTTGCATACATCAAATCCATTCTTGATAAAAGTGGTCTTACTTTTATATGGAATGATCAGATACCTATGAATAGGGAAATGTTGAAATCTCTTGTCAAACAAAAACTTGTTGATCAGTTTATACAACAATGGTTTTCTGTAATTAATAATTCTTCAAGAGGAGAATTCTATGGTAAATTCAAAAATATATTTGAATTAGAACCCTATCTACTACGATTGGGAAATACTGATAGATTGTATATGGCTAAATTTAGATGCTCAAATCTTAAATTCCCAATTGAAACGGGAAGATGGAAAAATATTTTAAAAGAAAATAGGATATGTAATCAAAATATTGGCGACAAATATCATTATATGTGTGTTTGTTCACATCCTAGTGTGTCACTTCTTAGACAAAATCTTGTACCTAATTATTACTTACAATATCCTTCAAGGCAGAAATTAATCGGTTTACTTTCATTGTGTAACATAAAGGTGTATAGGAAAGTATGTACTTTTCTTAGAAAGATTACTTATTTGTTGTAGATACAATTTTTATACATTACATATATATTTAGGTACTCACAATCACTGAATAAATAGGAAGATATCTGTACAAATGTAATCCTTTAAACTTAATAGGTAATATATAATGTATATATCTCAATGTCATGAAAATCACGTGCTATTATACATTACTCTGCTGTCGAATTTATGTGTATACTTTATCATGTTTTGACCTTTGTACACGTTTGTGTCTGAGGAAATAAAATAATTTGTCTTGTCTTGTCTTGGCAGAATCTAAAGCGAAAAGCTAACCCTTGTCTTGATGTTTTTATCTCATTAATCTAGACAATGTTGGAAATAAAAACAGTTATAAAATGTTTCTCATGAACAGTTTTTATTAATTTTGGGTAACCGCTTAACTGGTGATCAGTAATTAAGGTAGCATCTTGTATGTACATGTGAGTAGTGTTCATTAACCTAATTGTGAACCTAAAACTAGATTGTTATTCCCCTGGGTTTATCAGATTTTCTGTGGTGTCATGTAGTTTGGGGGACAGAATATTTATTTTCATCCTGCCAGGGGCAAAGTTATTTATTTTCAGTTATTGCTGTGGTTGTCGATGTCCGTTGTCTTTGACTTTACAAAAATCATCTCCTCTCAAACTACTTGGCTAAATTTAACCAATCTTGGCCACAATCATCATTTGGGGTATCTAGTTTAAAAACTCTGTCTGGTAACCCTACCTGCCAACCAACATGGCCGACATTGCTTAAAATAGAACATAGTGGAAAAATACAAATTTTGTCTTTTATCATGAAAGCCATTACAAATAGAGAAAATCTGATGTGACAGAAATGTTCACAATGTTGAGATCTACACCTATTGTTCACTTACATAAAAACTGTCAGACGACTTATAGGAGTTATTGTCCTTAAATGACAAATTTTACGAAATTTATTTATTTTTACCTATTATCTTTAAAACCATAATACATAGAGAGAAACTTAAAATAACAAAAATTATCAGCAAGACCAAACTTACAAATAAGTCAGCATGATCAGTTGACTCTTTATAGGAGGGATTGCCTTTAAATGATGATTTTTTTTTAACCTTTTTTGTTTTGGGCAAAAATTAATGAAGATGGATTAAAAATGTAAACAGAAAAAATGATCAGCAATACAAGATCAACAAAAAAGAGTTTTTTCATGAATTCTATTCTATTCTACAATGTTAGAGAGTGTCCATTGTTGAAGATGCACATAGACCTCGATGAGCAACACAGGCTCTTTAGGGCCTCTAGTTTTTTGCAGGAATTACATATAATCACTGGAATGTTAAGGATGGGATTACAAGAAATCCCCAAAATGACTAGGAATTGCATGTAATCCCTTGTTACGCTTATTTACTGTAACATATATATAAAAAAGATTCTACCAATATTATTTTTATTGTATTATCTTTTTCTTGCTTTAAACAAAACTATAGTACAATAGGATAATTTATTCTTGTACTGTCGGATAGAATTTTGATTTTGTTTACGTCAAACATTTAAAGATAGACCACTTTGTCATGGAGTAGAAGTTGCAAAAGTTATAAAAGTTACAAAGGTAAGGAATTCATTACAAATGTGATGACTGGGAAAAACTTAAATCATATTTTTCAACAATCTAAGTTGATTTCAGTTAGAATTCAAATAGAATTTATCATACAGTGTATTGATATTCCACTAATAGGAGATTTCTAGTTATCAGCAGCAATATTATAATGAAATCTTGACAATGTTTCCTTTAATACATGTATAACAGTACTTTTTAAGTTAAAATGAAATTGGCATTCCCATAGGCATTATTCAGTCTTTTGTTGAACAATAAATGAAGCTACATATGCCTCAGAAGATGGTCAGATTGTAAATACATATCATATTTATAGAACTCTCAACTGACTTTTAATAGTCAATATTGTTTTCATTTTTATTTTTGTCTTGCGTTATTTACATTTATGCCTGGTTACTAGTTACCTCAATATTTCTTTCTGATTTTATAATTTAATGTTAGTGGTATGCTTTTCAAAATTTCAGAAGGCTTCTTGTATAAAATCAGTCATCTTTATAATTCTGAATTGATGAGAACAAAATTTGAAAATATTGAAATTGAGTTCTGTTTTTCTGATTTGCCTGAATTAGTTCAGTGCTCTATTTAAACAAATGAAGACACATTTTATTCTCAACTCTGTTACATTATCTGTATCTACTATGTCTCATTAAGTAGCTTTATGTTTGAATAATATTAGACATGTGGATTTAGGCAGTTTGGTTGGTATCTAAATCTTCTCCTGACATTAGACCTCAAAGATTAGACCTTATTTCAATATAAGTTGCCAAAAAATAAATTGTAATTAATAAAAATGTACTTATGCTTGTTTTGAAAATATGTATACTGTTTATTAAGTATATGTGAATTGATATGTTAATGTCAAATGTTAGTTGTTTGACACAGTAATAAACTTTTTATGAGCTTTTGTCACATCAAATATAATAATACCAAATTCGGTTCCTAATGGGGAAAATCTTCATTTTTGAAATCCAGCTTTTTGAGTTTCTGTATTTGGTCAATGAAACATTTTAAGGTTTAGCTGTTCCTTAGACAGGGTTCATTAGTTTAAATATATTTTATTTGCTTAAATATGCAAAAGGGATGAGACACAAGTTAATCAAACTTATAAAGTCTTCTCCCAAACAGGGTTCATTTGACCTCCATCACATTTTCATAAATCAATGATCAACAATTTTTTTGTGCTTAAGGGGAGTTGGTATCGTCTCTGGGAATACACAGTTATCATGATAATAAATGAGCTATGTCCTGTTGTTATTAGTTTTATGGTCTCGACTGTGACAAAAGTCTCAAAATGCGAGACAGTGGCAGCGTCAACTTTTTCTATAAAGCTTTATATTTCAGACGGTAGAAGACTGAATGTTTCATACCTTGTATGCATGTACCTTATGTTCATAAGTTTCTGTCTGTCATATGTCTATAGTCCTTGACCTCATATTCTTGGTTCAGCGACTGCTTGAAAAAAAAAAATTTTTTGTCATGAATTTCTCACTTATTATGAGTAATAGGATAACTTTATTTGGTACATGAGTTCTTTGCAATGTCTACATGTCTGTCAGACAGGGTTCACCTGACCCCGACCTCATTTCATGGACCAGTGATCAAGGTTAAAGTTAACTGATTAGGTCTATTTCTTAGGTTAACTATATGTGGTGTATGGAATGATAGTAAGGGGTACATGTTAGCCTGGTAGGTTTCATCTGACCTTGACTTCATTTTAATGGTTCTTTGATCAATGTAAAGTTTCTGTAGTTTTGTCCTCTTAGATACTTTAAGTAATAGGTCAACTTTATTTGGTGTATGGAATGATTGTAAGGTTTACATGTCTGTCTGTTTGTGTCATGTATCATCTGACCTTCACCTCATTTTCATGGTTCATTGGTCAATGTTAAGATTTAATGGTTTGGTTTGTTTCTTTGATACTATAAGCAAAAGGTCAACTGTATTTGGTGTATGTATTGAATGTAATTTGTACATGTCTGTCTACCAGGGTTTATCTTGCCTTGACCTTATTGTTATTGATCTGTGATAATGTTGAGTATATGTGATACTTGTAGTAAAACCTTTATTTTTAAGACTGTCAACATTAAATCAATCATGGTTAGTAAAGCAGGGCAGACATATCAAGTGTGCACTCTTGTTAATGATGACATCGTAATAACAGAATTGAATCACAGAACAGAGAATCTGAATAATAACGTAGATTGCAAATGTACTCCAACAAAGGAGTTACAAAAGAACTGTTGTCGTTTTTAAATGAATTTGTGGAAAATTATTGGTTTTTGTAAGAGTTATTTCCTATTTTTTAACTCCTTTTGAAATTTGGAGGGAGATGTCATTAAAGTATTCCGAATGTTGGAAACTATTTTCTGGCAAAATGTAAGGAGGCAATTGGGAAAACATGATTTCAATAGCAAATTTGAAGTATTTTCTAAAATAAGTACAATGTACTGGTACTGTAACACATACTTTTTTAATTTTTTTTTCAAAATGCACAATGTAAGCTCATACACAAATATTGCAAAAAATAACAATACAAGAACCTTGTACAGCAGTTCAGTGAAGGTCAGCAAATTTAACATATTTTGGCATGTACCGTAATGAGAAATTCAATCAAGGTTTTAAATTAAACAGTGTACTACTGACATTTAGTTCTTTTTTTACCTAATGCATATATTATCAGAGCTTTGAAATAAAAACTATTTTATTGCCGAAAATACCAGTTTTAGAACATTTTAAAGTTTCCAATTTTGAGCCTCATTTTTCTTGAAAAAAGCAAACATAACCTATGCTTTATTTTACCATTTTTCCAAGATCACTTTTCAATCTATAACATATATCTCAAAATCACAAAAATGACAATGTAAAGAGAAACTGTATCGACTCCCCTTAAGTGAGTTTCTTGTTTACTACAAGTTATAGATAACTCTATTTTGTTTGTAGAATCATTGTAAAGTGTACATGTCAATCTAACAGGATTCATGTGACAAAGACCTCATTTTTATGGCCTCATATAGCAAAGTTAACTTTTCATGTTACTTTTTTTTACTGATGTATGAAGTAAGACAATGATATCAAAGACTATCATCATATTGTTCTGTCATTATAAAAAAAAAACAGGTGTGATATTTTAGCTTGTCCTTACTTTGGATTTTTTTGATTCAACAATTATACTTGAATTATGGGGGCATTAGCTGTCAAATTCATGTTCACCAATTTGACCCAAATTTTTATATTTGATGTCAGGTTATATGACCGTTGGCAGTCTTCGGAGGTCATCTCGACAGATAATTAGATGGTGTCTAGTCTAAAATAACCACCGAATGCTGATACATTATAGCGTTCCCATGCATTGTTAATTGTTTCTTTTGGACTTTTTGTAATTTTGATATATGTTTTAGTACGTTATTAATAAAATATGAGAATTTTTTCAAACCAATGTACATGAATTTGACAGATAAAGCCCCTTTAAATGAACCTTTATATTTTTAGGATGTTTGTTATAATGTTTAGATAATCATATTATATTTGAAGCAGATATTTTCACATTTTCGCAATAGTTGATATGTTGTTTTCCAAAACAAAGTAATGGGACATTTGTAGAAAAAAACAATTTGTTTTATTAAAGTCTGGGATGAAGTTGAACTCGGCTTATGATTCAATGAATGCCATCTTGTTGTCAGGGCATTCTTCTGTTTCATGTCAACATTTCTGTTTCTAGGGTGAAAATTTGGCAAAATTTTAATCTCCAGAACCATGTTAAAACTTTATGAAACTGGGTTTAAAATGCCCCACTGGATAAGAAACAATCCTTTAGATTATAAGTAATTAAGATACTTAATAGATATTGGGTCAGTAGATCAAAGGACAATGTCACAATAACTATTATCCATCTTTTAACATAGTGTCCACACTTAACAGAATTTAAAGTCTTCATCAAGAAAGCAAAAAAACAAAATAGTACCCATCTGATAACTACTAATCCATTCATCAGGAGTAAATAATAAAGTCTATTTACTGAGGGGAAAACCATTTGATATCCTGGAGGTGGGGTGGGGTTTTAGAAAAAAAAACCTTGGCCAAGATAGGATGTAAAAAATGAATATTCTGCCCTACAAAATGCAGGAAAGGATTGTGTACAATAAAATAAGGTGAAGTAGCAATAGATGGAAAGAGAAATTCTGTCTGCAAAAAACTATCCTCCTGCATACCCCTCCCTGGAAAATCTTATGGTTGACCACCTATATGTCCAGAAGGATGACATTTATAGATGGAAATACAAATAATATCAATTAATAAATATTTAAAATGAATGTTTTTTAAACCTTGTCCATCCTTTTTATTATATGACCGCAAAAAAAATTTTTGGGTGCGTATAATGCTATGATGTTGTCGTCAGCGCCGTCGTCCTCGTTGTCGTCCGAAGACACATTTGGTTTCCAGACAATAACTTTAGTTTAAGTGAATTGATCTCTATGAAATTTTACAAGAAGGTTCATTACCTCAAAAGGAAGGTTGGGATTAATTTTGGGGGTTATGGTAACAACAGTTTAGGAATTAGGGGCCAAAAACAAGCATTTTTGTAGTTTCCGGACAATAACTTGTGTGTAAGTGTGTGGATCTCACTGAAATTGTACCACAAGGTTCCATATCACAAAGGGAAGGCTGGGATTGAGTTTGGGGGTAATTGCCCCAAACATGCATGAATTAAGGGCAAAAAAGGGGCCTAAAACAACCATTTTTAGCTCACCTGGCCCAAAGGGCCAAGTGAGCTTTTCTCATCACTTGGCGTCCGTCGTCCGTAAACTTTTACAAAAATCTTCTCCTCTGAAACTACTGGGCCAAATTTGCCCAAACTTGGCCACAATCATCATTGGGGTATCTAGTTTAAAAAATGTGTCCGGTGACTCGGCCAACCAACCAAGATGGCCGCCATGGCTAAAAATAGAACATAGGGGTAAAATGTAGATTTTGGCTTATATCTCTGAAACCAAAGCATTTAGAGCAAATCTGACATGGGGTAAAATTGTTTATCAGGTCAAGATCTATCTGCCCTGAAATTTTCAGATGAATCTGACAACCGTTGTTGGGTTGCTGCCCCTGAATTGGTAATTTTAAGGAAATATTGCTGTTTTTGGTTATTATCTTGAATATTATTATAGATAGAGATAAACTGTAACAGCAATAATGTTCAGCAAAGTAAGATCTACATATAAGTCAACTTGACCAAAATGGTCAGTTGACCCCTTAAGGAGTTATTGCCCTTTATAGTCAATTTTTAACCATTTTTTGTAAATTTTTGTAATCTTTTACAAAAATCTTCTCCTCTGAAACTACTAAGACAAATTTAACCAAACTTGTCCACAATCATCATTAGGGTATCTAGTTTAAAAAATGTGTCCGATGACCCCGCCCGCGAACCAAGATGGCCGACCGGGCTAAAAAATAGTACATAGGGTAAAATGCAGTTTTTGGCTCATATTTCTGAAACCAAAGCATTTAGAGCAAATCTGACAAGGATAGAATTGTGTATTAGGTCAAGATCTGCCCTGAAATTATCAGACCAATCAGGCAACACGTTGTTGGGTTTCTGCCCCTGAATTGGTAATTTTAAGAAAATTTTGCAGCTTTTGGTTATTATCTTGAATATTATTATAGATAGAGATAAACTGTAAACAGCAATAATGTACAGCAAAGTAAGATCTACAAATAAGTCAACATGACCAAAATTGTCAATTGACCCCTTAAGGAGTTATTGCCTTTTATAGTCATTTTTTTACAATTTTCATAAATTGTGTAAATTTTTGTAAATTTTTACAAAATATTATCTACTGTAACTACTGGGCCAAGTTCATTATAGATAGGGATAATTGTAAGCAGCAAGAATGTTCAGTAAAGTAAGATCTACAAACACATCAACATCACTAAAACACAATTTTGTCATGAATCCATCTGTGTCCTTTGTTTAATATGCACATAGACCAAGGTGAGCGACACAGGCTCTTTAGAGCCTCTAGTTCTAGTTTCCAAACAATAACTTGTGTTTAAGTGTATGGATCTCTCTAAAATTGTACTACAAGGTTCCATACCTCAAAGGAAAGTCTGGGATTGAGTTTGGGGGTAATTACTCCAAGGGGGGTCAAACAGATTGGGGGGGGGGGATTTGTTTTTCCCAATTTTTTTTCTTCAAAATTTTTGAAATTTCAAATTTTTTGTAAAGTTTCAAGAAGAAATCTTCAATTGAAAGTATTGCGCAAACGCACAGTATTGCGCAATAGATTTTTAAGTTCTTTGACAACATTTATTTTGTGTCAGAAACCTATATTATGTCAAAATTTTTATCACAATCCAAATTCAGACAGTATCAAGCTTGAATATTGTGTCCAAACTTGCCCCAACTGTTCAGGGATCGACCTCTGCGGTCGTATCAGGCTGCGCTCAGCGAAGCATTTTATTTTATTTAATTGTACATTGAGAAGTTACTACTGTACACTCAACTATTATCTGAAATTTATTTTGCCAGAAATGCATTACATAAGTGATAATAAAACAGAACATGGCTGAGATTATACCAAGTGCAATAATTGTTTATGATAATATGTTTTTGTATCTAGATTTTTATTTTGCTTTTCTTTCTGTTATATTTTTGTTACAGTAGCAATCATGTACCATTGCTGTTTCTTATGGAAATAAATCTTATTTTTATGCTATCAAGTGTTGGTTTTTTTTTGGCTGTTGACATCTCTTCCCCCTTTGAATAGATACCTTATGTGAAGCACTCAAATTTGTTGCCATTATTTGAATAAGAAACATGGATAAGGAAAGGCAATTAAGTTCCAAATTAAGCTTTTGGATAGTAAGTGTTAACCAGTTAACTAGTACCTGAGCAGCAATTCACTTCATCCTGGGATTTAATAACTTGATGTCTGTTGCCCTGATTGTTAAGTATTTCCCAAATTAATACTCAACAGTAAAACCAATCAGGACAACTTAAACATTTATTTAGTTTATCAAAAGGAGTTGGTTCACTGAATAGTAATCATAATTTTGGCCCTAAAAATTTTAAAATTTTCAACTGCAATAATGTTATGAAAATTTGATGAAAACATATGTTAAAATGTGCACTTGTTTCAGTTAAAGAAGATTTTCACCAATTGCGTCATCATTGGAGTATTTGTGACACCATAAATGTAGGTGAATTTCATTAAAACTTTCCCATAATTTGGCAAAATGATAGTTTTTATCTCGCCTGTGATGAAAGTCTCAGTATGCGAGACATAGGTGTTACAATCCGGCGGTGACGACGGCGTAAACTATTTGTTTAAAGCTTTATATTTTAGTAGGTAGAAGACCTGGATGCTTCATACCTTGTATGCAAATACCTTATGTTACGAAGTTTCCATCTGTCATATGTCCATTGTCCTTGACCTCATTTTCATGGTTCAGTGACTACAGTTTTTTGTTAAGTGAAATACTCACTTATTATGAGTAAAAGGATAACTATATTTGGTATATATATGGGTTCTTGCAACATCTACATGTCCATCAGGTAGGGTTCACCTAACCTTGACCTTATTCCATGGATCAGTGACCAAGGTTAAATTACGTGGTCAAGTCCCTATCTCAGATACTGTAAGCAATAGGTCAACTATATTTGGTGTATGGAATGATTGTAAGGGGTACATGTCTGACTGACAGGTTTCATCTGATCTTGACCTCAATTTCATGGTTCATTAGAAATGTTGAGTTTTTGTGGTTTGGTCTATTTCTCAGATACTATAAGCAATAGTTCAACTATATTTGGCGTATGGAATGATTGTAAGGGGTACAAGTCCGACTGACAGATTCCATCTGAACTTGACCTCAATTTCATGGTTAATTGAACAATGTTTAGATTTTGTGGTTTGGTCTATTTCTCAGATACTATAAGCAATAGGGCCACTATATTTCTAGTTCAGTCATGTTTTTAAAATATTTTTTTTTATTGTGTACTTTCCATTGCGTTTGTAGGAAAGAAAAAAAGGACAGCCTTCCCATGTCCCTCAGTGCAGCATAGAGTTAACAATGATGATGTACATGAACGATTGTAAAAGGGTAGAAACCTGTGTCTTGTTGAAATTGATAACCCGGCCATCATAATATAAATGCATTATGGTGTTTAAATTGTAGAGCTAATACTGCATAATCCTGCTTTAGTTCCAGGTGGGATTTAACTTTTAATCTGCTGCAATATGTTGTTTTTAATTACCGTAGTTTTAATATTTTTTTATCATTTAAATATGGGTGATAGATATATTGTATTATAGTTAGAAAAACATACGTAAATATTTTTGAAAATGTTGAAAATGGCAAAAAAACACATACATATTAATCCTGTTTTAATACCATCCTAAGGGAACATTGTTATTTTAACATGAAGGGTGGGACTAAAACAGAGTTATATTATATATAATACCTGAATGAAATAGTTTTATATATTAATCCTATTTTAGTCCCAACCTTCATTGTTAAAATAACACCCTATGAAAAATAAACAGGATTGATATATGCTTGGTTTTTTTTCTCAGTAAATTAGCATAGAAAACAATCATACATGTATATATATTAATACTGTTTTAGTTCTACCCTCTACAAAAGTACATTTAAATGGAAAACCCATTAGGTTGGGACTAAAATATGATTAATATATAAGTGTCTTATATATATTGATCCTGTTTTAGTTCCACTCTATATTTTAAAACACCTAATTTTCCTTAGGGGTGGGTTTTCTATTCTTTGATAAAAAAAGGGGGGGCTTGGAATGTTTTGCCGATTTAAAAAAGAGAAACAAATAACCTAGAACTTTGACCATTTGCGACACAGAAAAAGACCAGTTCAAAGCAAATGACCTTCAATCTTTGACCTATTATGACACCAAAACAGACATTCCTAAAGCAAGGTGCAATTGATATTTATGGGACATAAAAAAAGACCAATATACATTTTGAGACATAAAAATGACAAAATGGAAAAATGATTATAACAAAAGTTTCGAATTTGAGTAGGAATCAACTATGCCCTATGGTATTCTTATAAAGTCCCACTTATTTGACATGAGTAGGAATCAAGACAACCATGCAATATGGTACTTTACTAGGTCCAACGTATTTGACATGAGTAGGAATCAACTATGCCCTATGGTATCCTAATGTAGTCCCACTTATTTGACATAAGTGGGAATCAACCATGCCCTATGGTATCATAATATAGTCCCACTTATTTGACATGAGTAGGAATCAACCATACCCTATGGTATCCTAATATAGGCCAACGTATTTGACATGAGTAGGAATCATCAACCATGCCCTATGGTGTCCTTATAAAGTTCCACTTATTTGACATGTGTGGGAATCAACCATGCTTTATGGTATCATATTACAATCCCACTTATTTGCAATGAGTATGAATCAACCATACCCTATGGTATCCTAATATAATCCAACGTATTTGACATGAGTAGGAATCAATCATGTCCTATGATATTCTAATACAGTCCCACTTATTTGACATGGGTCAGAATCAACTATGCCCTATAATATCCTAATATAGTCCCACTTATTTGACATAAGTAGGAATCAACCATGCCTTATGATATCCTAATATAGTCCCACTTATTTGACATGAGTAGGAATCAAAACAACCATGCCCTACCGTATGGTATCCTAATATAGTCCCACTTATTTGACATGAGTGGGAATCAACCATGTCCTATGGTATCCTAATATAGTCCAACGTATTTGACATGAGTGGGAATCAACCATGTCCTATGATATCCTATTATAGTCCAACGTATTTGACATGAGTAGGAATCAACCATGTCCTATGATATTCTAATATAGTCCCACTTATTTGACATGAGTAGGAATCAACTATTTCTGACATATGTGGGAATAACATCATGCCTTATGCCATTCTCCTACAGTCAATCCTTTTAGACATACATCACATCCTATTAGGCAACATTGGGAATCATATCTGTCGAATGGTATTATCCTACATTCCCACCTATAAGAAATCATAAGGAATTAAATCATTCTTATGGTATCCTCCCACAGTCCCACCTATAAGACATATGTTGGAATTAAATCATGCCCTATCATATCTTACAGGCAAACCATTAACACATATGTGGGAATCAAGTCATGTCCTCTGGTTTCCTCCTACAGTCCAACCTATTAGACACATGTTGAAATTAAATCTACGATATGGTATCCTCCAACCCTCCAACCTTTTAAACATATGTGGAAGTCAAGTCTTGCCCTATGGTATCCTCCTAAGGTCCAACATATAAAACATATGTGGGAATTAAATCCTCCTACTGTCCAAGCTTCTACACATATATGAGAATTAAATCATGCCCTATACAAGGTGTAGTATCTCCCTACAGTCTATAAAACATAATTGGGAATCAAATCATGCCCTATGGTATTTTCCCACAGTCCTACCTATATGATATATGTGGGAATCAAATCATCCGCTATAGTATCCCACTAGAATCTCATCTATTAGGCATCATTGGGAATCAGATAATGCCCTATCGTATCCTCCTACAGTCTCACCTATTAGACATCATTGGAAGTTTTCTCTACCATGAGGTAGCCTTTTACATGCAGCCTATAAGACATCATTGGGAATCAAATTTACGATATGGTATCTTCCTGCAGTCGAACATTTTAGACATATGTGGGGATTAAATCATTCCCTATGGTTTCCTCCTACAGTCCAACCTATAAGACATATGATGGAATGCAATCATGCCCTCTGTCATCCTTCTACAGTCCAACCTATTAGACACATTTGGGAATTAAATCATGCCCTATGGTATCATCCTACAGTGCAATCTTTCTGACAAATGTTGGAATAAAATCATGCCCTGTGACATCCTACTACATTACATCTTATAACGCATCATTCGTAATCAAATCTGCCGAATGGTATTATCCTACATTCCCACCTATAAGACATATGTTAAAATTAAATCATGCCCTATCATATCCTCCTACAGTCCTACCATTACAAAATATGTGGGAATCAAGTCATGTCCTCTGGCATCTTCCTACTATCCAACATTTTTGGACATATGTGAGAATTAAAGCATGCCCTATAGTATCCTACTACAGTCCAACCTTTTAGACACATGTGGGTATTAAATCATGCCCTATGGTATCCTCCTTCTGTCTAACCTTTTAGACATATGTGGGAATGAAATCATGACCTATGGTATCCTCCAACTGTCCGAACATTAAGACATATTTTGAAATTAAGTCATGTCATTTGGTATCTCTCTACAGTCCAACCTGATAGACATATATGGGAATTAAATCATGCCCTATGGTATATTCCCACAGTCCAACCTATAAGACACATGTGGGTCTTAAATCATGCCCTGTGGTATCTTCTACAGTCCAAACTTTCTGACATATGTTGGAATAAAATCATGCCCTGTGACATCCTGTTAAGACATATGTTAAAATCAAATCATGCCCTATAATATCCTCCTACAGTCCTACCATTAAAAATATGTAGGTATTAAATCATGCCCTATGGTATCTTTCTGCAGTCAACCCTATCAGACATATGTGAGAATTAAATCATGCCCTGTAGTATCCTACTACAGTCCAACCTATTAGACACAAGTGGGTATTAAATCATGTCCTATAGTATCCTACTA